ATGATTTTGCCTTTTACCCAGCCAAGTTTTCACAGTTTGCAAGAGAGGCGACCTTTTACTTGGGTCGGGGGACAAGTCTGAATCGGCCGTACGTGCATGAGCGAAAAGACGGAGAGGTGAGTGTGTTTCTATTTATCGCCTGAGAGTAATACAAACTTTCTATTTACAGCATGCTAAATGTGATAAAATTGAAGAAATCAACCAAGCCGGATACAACTTAACTGTTTTTCCGGTTTTTTCAGGCCTTTCACCAGTCAAAACCAGCGCCCGTGAGGCGATACTCATTCGCACTTTAGGCTTGGACAATCTCACAAACGAAAAGGCTGGCCATCTACCAGAAAAAATTAGCCTCGAGCCCGATGAGATAAGCCTGCTCGGCAATTACTGGTTGTTCCTGGCCTACAGGGTTTTTCAGCACGTCGGCGTTGAGCGCCCATTTTTGGAGGACGATGAGTGGCGAAGTGGTCAGTCAAGTAGTGTCGGTGATGGTCATCACAAGAGCTCGGAAAACAACAGCCCTGAGTCGTCTCGCAAGCCCAGTAGCAAGAACGCCTCCACCTCCTCGTCGTCGCCGAAGCGAAGTCGAGTCGAATGACTAATAGTTTTTTGTTCTGTCCTTTTTTCGTTATTACCATTTTTTCTTTCATAGTCCCTTTGCCCAACTAATCTCTCAGTTTTCACACATTATTCACTATTATCAGTTATTTTTGTAGGTCCACTCGCGTTCGTAAAAAGTCCCTAATGTAAATACAAAATTTTTGAACTTAAATTGAGTACTCACATTGGGGTGGTACTTGTAGACGGAGCCATCAATGCCGATGGTAGTGTGCGGACGCTTCAGGCGGTTCAGCACGGTGGCCAGCGCCGCCGAGCAGAGGTGCGCCGCACGGGTGGAAATTCGGTTGCAGATCATCTTCAGGTTCTCGTAGTCCTCGACAGTGGCGTGCTGCAGGTTGATCTCATCTAGCGACTGCTTCGTGTTGGTGTACACTCCCTTCGGGTCGGACTCGATGGCCGAGACGTAGGCCGACTTGAACATGTGCGGCGTGAAGAGCTCATCGGAGCCCTTGCCGCCGAACATGAGACCCTGTCGTGTGAGAGAGGCGGCCACTGATCGAACCAGCTCGCCCATGTACATGCCGGAGATCATCTTTTCAAAGCTGTGAAGAAAGATATTGATTAGTCCTACTTTTTGACCATTATCCCTTTTGTGCAGTAACTTACAGCTGGCGTCCCTTGTTCAGCGAGTAGGTGTTCACTTCGTCGTCCCAGTCAGTGCGCACAAAGTCCAGCACTCCATTGTCGCCGAATGCGCCCCACTCAGTGTTGACGATGACCTTGTTCGGGCCGGGCGTGTCATCGTCAAACAGCTCCACATTCTCAATGTCCTCCATGTAGCAGGAGTTGAAGCCAGTGCCGATGATGACGCCCATTCGGCATTCGCGGTTCTTGTGAGCGCATGACATGAGAGTGCCAGTGGTGTCATTGACCACTGCCATCACATCGATGTCAATGTCGCCGCGCTTCCTCACGGCCTTTCGCAGCAGAGTCACCACGTCCTCGCCCTCCACACCAGCGCAGGAGAAGCCCTTAGTCCAGCTGACCAGTCGAGCCTTGGTCAGACCTTCCTGTCGGCAGGGGAAGCTGAAGGTAAAGCCCAGAGGAAGCTTCTGATCCTTCAGATTGTTCTTCTCCATAAAGTTAGCCATGCACTCGGCAATGTGATCAAAAAGCTGTTTTTAGAAAAAGGAAAAAAAGAAAATGTCAGTAAACGGTCGATTTTGCAATGTGCAATCGTCGAAAAGTGTCACTACTCGTACCTGTTCGCCAGTGCCAACCATAATCGATTGCGGAATGGCAAAGATTTCGTTTTCCATGTTAAAGCTGTCGCCGTCAATGTCAATTACGAGGACTCGGAAGTTAGTGCCACCCAGATCGAGGGCCATGAATTTGCCTTTCTCTGTAAGAAGATCATTTTAGTTAGGGGCATTTAAATCAGATCAGAACAGGGCTTACCTGAACCGTCGGGAACGTCGCGCACATAAGTGGGGTACATCTTAATGCTGGCAATGGGGTTCGTCTCTCGACGAAGGCCTTCATTGAGCTCCTTGAGGAGCAAGGCCGACACCTTCTCCAGCTGATCATTGGTTAGCACCAGTGCTCGCGTGGCCAGATCAACCTGGAAACAAGATTTGCAGATAATTAGTAATCGATGGTCGATTTAGTGAAATGCCAAGCCGTCTATTCAAAAGAAGGATGTTAATGATCGTCAGTGATTGCCACCAGTGTGCACCAGTCTCCTCTATGAGGCGTGAAGTGGTGCTCATCGTCAGCGCTCGAGAACTCAATGCCCTCAATTGCACTGTTGCTATTTGCTAATTGCTTGTTGCTAACTGAAAGATCACACTGTTTGCTGTCAGTGTTCAAGTGAATGCAAGTTGTTGTTACTTGGTATTAGAAAAGGAAAATGATACAGCAAACTGTCTGCTCATACAACAACAATATGGAAGCAAAACTCGGGTCAACTAACCCGTTAGTGGCAGTTTATTGCTTCTTGATAAACATTTGCTACAGTCTGAATGCAATTTCAAAAACAACAGTTGAAAACAGGCTCATTTGTCTGTTCCTGAAAATTTTAAAATTGGGCATTGTCACGTAATTGACAATGTACTGCAGGACGATCAATAGTGCTAATGGTTGTGGGCACTACTTTTTGCCTAAATTAGGGTTTGTTACTGTTTGCCAGAAGAATTGTCATTGCCAACCAGATCGAACTTGAACCGAATTCGGGTTGCTACTAATACTTAATCTATACTATAATCTATTTTTTAAAGTTAACTGAACTGGAAGTTGAAGGATAGACAGCAAATATGACTATTCAGATAGACTTTGTTTGCCTGAAAACTTTCCAACTATTAAAAAAGTTCTGGTTGCTATGTGGAAGTGAAAAGAAACAAAAACAAAATATCTGTCAGTGCCGCTAATGGTAAACCGGGAAAAAGTAATTTTGAAAAGGGAGATATAGCACAGGAAAGAGCAAACAAAAAGTACAGAACAAAAATGTCACAGAGAATGGTGACCTTGACCGAACCAAAGCTAATTTTGCAGTGGCGCTTATCAAGGACACTTTTAGCGATGCAGAATCAATCCAGCTAGCCAGTGTCTATATAGCACTTGACTTGGTATTGTTTGTCCTGTTCTTGAAAAGGCAAAAAATTAATTCGGTTGGAACTAAGATTTATAACCAAACACTTCAAAGCTTAGCATCCACCATTACTGGCTAAGCAAACTTTTGCCCCCTCCCTCACTCTGCTCTCGGTCATCTTTCTGTCTGACAGTGTCCTCGCAGTAGTGTTCTCAAGGCTAAAACGTGAGAGAATGTTCAGTTCCGTTTGCAGTGCCTTGCATCATCGCTCTCTGGCACAGCAACACACATGGTACGAGTACTGTTCTATTGGGGAAGGCTTGTGAACAGCTCCAGTAAATAGTTAGCTTTTACCAGACTACACAAAAGCGTTGCATCAGCAGCTAGCCCTTCAAATGATATATGCCGCACAGTGATTCTGAGAATTCCTGTTTGCATTTAAAGGTTATTTGCTTCCTCTTCAATCAATTACTCAAGCTGCACTGTACTGAATGTCATTTGAGAAGACGAGCAATTGTCAGTGCAAAATGATTGAAAGAAGAGAGTGCAATTGATAGTGCAAAAGGTNCTTGCATTTGAAGGTTATTCACTTCCTCTTCAATTAATTACTCAAGCTGCACTGTACTGAATGTCATTTAAGAAGACGAGCAATCGTCAGTGCAAAATGATTGAAAGAAGAGAGTGCAATTGATAATGCAAAAGGTTGATAAGCCGTGGTGACATTGACTGACTGATTGATTGCAGCTACAGCTACTACTAAGCAAACGGGGGCATGATTGCGTAAGTGAAGAAGCCAGATTTACTTACAGTTAGTTCTGGATCAGCTGATCGGCTTGGATCGGGCTGCTGCTCAAGGTGCGATTGCATTTCGAGTAAAGAAAAGAGACTGTTTATTACGACTGACTGTCACTGGGTAAGGTTCGGGGAATACTAACACTACTACTGCTGCAAGCATAGCCATTGTATGATATGAAATATCATTGTCAAAGTGATCTCCAGAGTAGCAGCATCACTTGAAAGTGTAACACAATCACACACACTGGCACATGCATTTCAATTGTCTGTGCAGTGTTTAAGCGATGCTGGGGCATGCAGTTGCTTTAGAGCAGCAGCCGTTAGCTGCAGCTCGAGCAGAACAGGTAGTGAAAGACGTCAGAAGACGCCTTTCTGGTCGGGTGTGTAGGTGCTGGTGGTGACGAAGGCAAAGCGACAGTGGTATGACTCGAAAGACGATGTGAAGAAGCGCGCCAACTTTCCTGACACTGAGCGTTTAAATATAGCCAACATAGTCTAGTCACCGGATAGTGCCGGATTGAGTGTGTTGGAGGCATGGAAGACGGGGAAGGCGCATTCCAGACAGATCAAGGCGAGTGATCGTCGCCAAAAGTGTCTGTGTGTGTCTACGAGAGTGTGATCGGCCGACAGATAGTGTAGTGCTGCCGAAGAGTTAAAGTTAAGAAAGATGGCAGTGAAAAAGATGCCAAATGTCATCGCACTTCGATGGACAGCACAGAGAGCACTTTTGGCTCCCAGCTTTCATCTAAGCGGGTAAAAGCATGCCGTTAATGTAAAAGGTCGGGTATGCCGGCAAAAAGATTATGTCAATGCAAGCAATCCGTGGAGGACAATTTATCGATCATTAGAAGGGAGGGACAGTTATACAAAAAAATGTTATGTTATTTCACTTACCTTCTTGCGAAGTTCACTCATTTTGAAGTGCAATTGGTATTTAAAGGAGTTAAATTGAAGAAGTGAAAAATGTTCAGCTGATTCAGTTAGATGCTTCGGCTGCAAGTGCTTCCAAAGACTGAGACTGCTTGTCAGATATTGTGGTGACAGACAATCGGATTTATATACTGATCTAAACTGAGCCGGTGCCAAGAATCAGCGCGTCTGCAAATACGCAAATCTAGAGTAAAACAGCCGGCGATGTTACGTCATGGCGCCTTTAGAGCAGATGATGAGCAACTTACGTGATTTAAAATGTGACGTAATCAAGCGACGTGAAGCGCAACACTGGTGATGATAATATCACTGACAATAGCACTTCTTTTCTAGCGGGTCGTCTTCTGTTTACTGTTAGCTTTGAATGGCTGCGATTCTTCTTCCCACTCGAAGTGACTCTCTGCAGGTGTGTGTTGAAATTCGCGCGTGTTGAGAGGAAGCGGTGAGGAGCACGCCGGCAACAATTCTCTCCTGTTTCAGTGGCGGCGGTGGTCGACGTCGGTGGTGGTGCAGCAGCAAAGGCAGACTTGTCTAGTCTGCAGGCGTGTGACTACTTTATAAGGACTTGCTATGCTGTCGGCTGAACGAGGCAGTAGACTGTCGGGTAGTGGTCGGGCAGACTGAGTACGGGTAGTGCAGCGCCACGTCTGATCGCTTGGAACTGCAGGATCGGCCGGGTGAGAGTTGGAAAGAGAGAGAGAGGATGATGATGGTAGTGGCTGGAGAGTGCGCGCCAACTTGCAAAGTCTTCACTGACTAGCTTCCACTGCTGCTGCTACTCACTTTATAAAGGCCTCTCTCCAGTTGGCTTTCTCGCGTGCTGTCAATCGATGCCTGCCCATCTAGTTTAGTCTTCCTTTCACTTCTTCAGGCGTCAGTGCCTCTCGAACGTCACCACGACAGTGGTATCCAGCTAGCGCGCCTTTCACCATTCAAACAGCTCCAGCACCTCTTAAGAGTGGAAGCTGCCTCTACTGCTGTGCCGTCTGTACCGTCTGCTGTGTTTGTTCGGCTGAAGAGGGGTCCGCCTGTTCCCCTCTCTCTCTCTTCCTACCTCTGCTGCTGTACAGCTCAATCAGTACCAGTCTATCAGGTACTGTAGGCGATTTGATGTTCAGTGAATGAGGGAGTAGTCTTGCATTGAACTCAGTCCTGTACACTTACAACGACACAGCCACACTGGTTGGGCGCACTTAGCACTTGTGCCGGTGCACTTGTGGAAGTCTCTCGAACTGGAGAAAGGCGACAGATTGCACACTTTTCGACAGTTAGTTTTATGCACCGTTTTGTGCCAACTTCCCATAAGCCATCACCAAAAGCCGACAAATTCAGGGCAAAAATAAATCCTGTGGTGAAGCTGTGCTCAACTGCCTGCACTGGCAGCACCAATCAATGAAGACCGCTACTTCACTCTCCTCTGGGCATATATAACTAACCAGTTTTCATTACACTACATTTTGCTGTACAACGGAGCATCATAACACTTTCTTCAGTGTACGCTGCACAAAGGCTCAACTACAACTACTCTGGCAAACTGCTAACAGAATGGAAGCCTATTTAGAGCACACTTTTTTGGTCTATCTATATACCACAGTTGTACACACTCATACTAGTGAATACTACGAAAGCATTTTTCCTCAGCCAAAGTACCGGCTCTTGCAGACAGGGTAACAGTAGTTTTTGGAAACTTTTCACACTAAATGCTAGTGTAAAGGCGATAGGTCATCAACTGGGTAGACGAACAGATATCTGCTTGACTGGCCGTTTTAATAATTGGGAGCTACCTGTTTATGTAATTATAATTAGTTAAAAGGTTGTTCATTTGGTAAAAAATTGCATGTTTTAACTAAAAAATAATTTAGCATTTTGACTAAACGGAACTTTGCATGAAAAAATATTGTGAATGAACCGAAACGTTGTGTTTGTTAATGTCATCAAAAATTTCAAATGTTAAGCATCAGTTGAAAACTGTCATCTCACTTGAGCACTGCACTTAAAATCAGAACAGTTTCTTTCAAAACAAACGGCTGCTGACAAGTGCGACCTTCAGTCAATTCAGTGCCAAGATCAAGTTTGTTTGACAACAAAAATGCTTTTGTTTTAAGCACAATGCAGATAAGTCATTTTAAAATTTATAAAAAATTTAATTCATATTAAATTTTAAAATGAAGAGAAACAGTGTTTTCTTTTGTATTTAAAAAATATTGTTTTGCTGAAAGAGTTTTTCAAACAAACTAGCCAAAACAATAATTTGATGCTGTGTCAGCACTATTTGAAGAAGATGCCAGAGAGATAGTGAGCTGCACAGCTGCCACCGGAATCTAAGCTCATTGAGTAAATACGACTACATTCTACCAAGTGCCGAGGCCAAAACAGAGTGCTACCAACAGTGCATCGACAGTGTAAATTCTACTGCGACACAAGCACACACACATACACACACTGAAAGCTCTGTCTTCTGACGTCACAAGTTAGTGTCTGGCGCAGTGGAATCGGTAAAGTTTGGTGAAGCTGGTGACGTCAAACGGGCTCGAGTAATGCACAGCTAGAGAAGAAGTCAAGTGAAGGTGATGACGACACGACAATTCTGGTCGCACTGAGCATGACCAGACACACGTTTACGATTCAATGTGAGCTGTAAGCTGGAGATCTCTTGGCGCCATACGTGTGTCGTCATGCAGGGCCATGATGTCGACAGTAGAGAATCCAGCTGACAGTGCATCCCCAGAATACTTGCCATCAAGCAAATAATAATAAAGTTTCTTAACAATGAGTCCTAAATAACGTTTAGAATATCAGTGATATTAACCTCATTTTAAGAATTTGATATGCTGCAACTTGTGCCCAATAGAATATTACATCACGTTTGATTCTGTTTGCACTAGCAAAGTACTTGTGCCGTACAAACAAACGTACTGCAACACAATCTTTGGTACTAAAAGTTGGCTCATTTTTAGTTTCTCAATAAAGTGCAATCGTCCTCATTGCAGGCCATATGATGACAATAATCAATTGCTTTATTTATCTGAGGCACATTACAGATTGATTAGCTTTCTTTATCGCACTTATGGATGATAGCTGAAATGTATCATATTTATCACTGCAACTGATACTAAAGACAATGATTCAATTTATTAAATACTGTCGATTAGTTCTTTTGGTACATGATAACCCTGATGATGTCAATGAGAAATACATTTTTCACAAATGCAATTAAGGCAACTAAACTGGTGATCATTTGGGTACACCGTTGTAACAAACAAATAAGTGATTTAAAAAAGTACAGCGTAATATATTTTTTTTTAATTCTGTCAATTACTAAATTGATGCAGAGTAGCTTTCGTTTATCAGTGATCTATAATTAGCACTCGATTCTTTTAGCTTTTCATACTTTGCTAAAGTTACGATTGCTTTTAGCAAAAAAGTGTTTTCAGTTGAAGTTATCGTAGTTGGCAACCAAACTATCGTACAAACTTAGAGCACGATTAGTGCACTGATACAGCAACGGGCAACAAAATAACTGTTGAGATAACAAATCACCTGTTTTTCGGATAAAAAAATATGCTGTTTAGTTGTGAGATAAACTGTTTATGAATGGAGTGTATTTACAACAAATATTATCCTTGAAAAAAATAGTTTAGGTGGTTAAACGATTTTTTAGATGATGTAACCGTTACAGTGACGTCACACAGTCACACGGTAACAGGCATAGGCAAGTTTTTGCAGTGTGTGACAGTGAAGTGAAGGCATTGAGCAGTGATCGACGGAAATCATTACGTATTCATTCAGCCTCTCTAAACAAAAAGTGAAGAGTGTTTACTCAAGGAAAAATGACAAATCACAAAAAAATTGCTTGTTTTAATAAAAACTTTTACAAATTTCAATTTTGTCGACTCATTTTTAGTGTAATGGCAAAAGCAAAAATATGGTTTTATTTTTTATGATTATCTTTCAAGAATTTATTCAAATATCATTACTTTTTGAAAACTAGCTGATTAATGTAAAAACAAAAATATTGATGATGACCAGAAAGTGATTGCTTTTCAAAACATCAACCAACACGTGAAAGCATAGAATTCAAAAAGTTTAGATGGTTTGACTGAGTGATAAACACGCCAAATGTAGCAAATGTGCTATCACCTTGGATATGCATATTTGGCAACTGTGCACTGTTATGCCATGTTTATTTATCTAAATACTATCAACTAACTAATACGAAGACATGAACGTGGTACCCATTTCTAGTTACATGTTTATTGTAATGTTTTTGTAGTAACAAGAAGCTGTCTTCAAAATGCAAGAAGTTGATAACTGAGATTTATCAACTGTCAGTTCATTTGGCTGACATGTGAATGTCTAAAAAACTTTTAACAAGCAAACGAGAAACGACAAAAATAAGAAATCTGAGCAGGACAATTTTTAAGAGTTTTATCCTGTCTGAAGTGAGTGTACGCAAATCTAAAGAAACGCAAAATAGCATTATAAAATGTGTAGAAAAGGAAAAGATGACTAGTGATAAATGAATGATGTGAATTCGCAGTCACAGATACTTGCAGCATCAATAGGGTGAGTGGTAAAAGAAAACAAAAATGTTTGATGAAACCAGTTTATCATGGTTTTGTTTGTTAAACCTTGTTTTGCATTAATTAACACAGTTTGTTAGAACAGAAACTTACTTCAGAAAAAATACCACTACTTTTGCGGTAAAAGTATGCTAGAAGATTATTTGTTATATAATATAAATTGTAGAAATAACGGATTCGGTTTTGATCGCACCAGTGAGAAACGTGCAAACAAGGAAAAAGTAGTATTGCAAAAAGAATTGAGTAAAAGGTAATTCATCTCTGTCAAAGATCTAATGCCGTCATTAGTACGAAAAAAGTGCATAACTTTTTTGACAAAATCATCGTTGAAAATTGAAGTAAGTCTGTTGAAGGACGCCTTGTACAAGAAAAGAGTAGTAGTAGTAGCCTCGGCTAAAACCT